TGGTGTGCCTTGAGCGGGTTCGAATCCTTCTGTTCAAAAAACGCAACCGCTCTATTTCGGGAGGTACAAAGCGCTTCTCCGGTTTGAAAGCTGCAAAATGCTGCAACTTTTTGCGCACGTCTCTGCGACCTTTCAAAAAATGAAAAAGATTAATTACGATAGCTGGACGACGGCATAACGCTGGGAGCAGGCGCTACAGTATGAAAGCCAAAAGGAAATTGAGGTCCTGGCTGCAATAGAGCCTACCAGTCAGATCGTTAGGTCTGGTTACACGATGAACGCGTCATTCTAACAGAGCAATAAGAACCGTTAGCAGCTGCGCTGCGCAACCGCACGCCTCTCTCCGTGATGGTCACAGACGTCCTGTCTGTGACGTGATTGGACACCAAGTAACCCATGCTAATGGGCAAGTATGTACCTTTACCAGCTGCGCTACGCAACCGCTCGCGTCCCTGTGGGCCTTTCTCGAGACAACCCAGACTCATAACGCATGTCAAAAGCTGCCCACTATTGCCAGAACCGGTCTAAAGCTTTCCATTCAGAATTCTCAATTAATGACGATATAAGCACCAAAAGTCTATGTAAATATTACTCTCTAGTGCATAAGCGAGTGAGCTTTGTTTGGCTAGAGTTAATTGAAGCAATTATTCTGCTGAGAAAAAGAACATGTCCGATATTTCAGTTCGTCGTAGTCAATCATTGTTTCCTTTTCAATCCAGTTATAGCTCACTCCTACAACTCATCATCATTGAAGCAATTTATTTCTCAATTGAAGAGATGAAGACGGAATCGTGACAATATGAGACCTGTAGGTGTAGCAGGAACGTTAGCCCCAGGATACAAAGATTACCGCCTTTATGAGGATTTCTAATGTAATTTTCTTGGGAAGAGCCCCAAAATGGCTCGTGGTCAGAGATATGGTCGTGTTTGCTTCGTGTGCTGGGGCGTTTTAAGAAGGCCGGCTCTGACGCAACATCAGCCCATTCTCAACCAACTGAAGGGAGGAACCAGGGAAAACTGGCTGGTGCTGCACCAAACCCAGCTCCCTCCCCCTCAAACTCCTCAGCGTCCGTCCGCAGCGGACAAAGCTGTCGATACTCGCGGTCATAACTCTTTAAACTGCTCGTCCGTTCTGAAAGAGATCATCCGAGCTCGCCATTGTTGTCTGCTATTCTTGCAGATGAGCAACAGTGTCCAGAAGAGAGATAGGAGGATTAGTGTGGCTGTTGCCAACATATTATTACCTATCGTTTGTCTATCTAACCTAAGGTCTCACCTCAAAGCTCCAGAACACCCAAGATCGCCGTACATGGAGAGATCGATGCCCATGGAGAACGTGGTCGGTACTTCCATAGGAGACGAGCCGATATCATGCGATAGGTCAACACCACTCAGAAGACGTTCTAGATGCGCCTTCGGAGAATGGGAAGAGCCTGAAAAAAATGGAAGTTTCTGAATGAAAGGCAGCTTAGTACACAAGATGATTCCACAATGAAATGATTCCAGAGTAAAATGCTCGATGCTGATCACATTATATCAGGATACACTTTGGTATTTCCCGTTTAGAAGCTCGAAAACCGTTTTCTTAAAGACACTTCCCGCGATCAAGTGATTAGCAAAATGCTCCGCCGTGCATTTCGGCGTCTGTTGACCTGGGCATTCCGAAAGAGAGATATACTAACTTCGACGCGGAACGGCTGAGATAACAGATTAAGACAACACGTGAAGGTTTGCAATCGGTGGACCGCGTACTGTAAGACTCTGCGAGACACGGCTTACAAACAGGAATTGCGTGTGTATACACACCATTTGGCCTGGAGCGTTCGTAGTGGCGGTTTTTATGTTCCTCATGCCGTGAATGGTTGCATATAGAACCCTGCAAAGAATTGGTTATCACAAGAATGCTGAGTTGTGGGCAAAAGTCGTGCCCCAGGCGGGAGTCGAACCCGCACCTCACGCTTTCCGGGCGAGTGCGCTATCCGTTACGCCACCAGGGCCGCTTTTACCCTCTCAGCTTAACGGCTTTTATGCCGTAGCCTATCAGCACTCACACGTTAGTTTCTATTTTGCCGTGAAAGCCGGGTCAGACGGGCCGCGTCAATCGTGGATATCTGGTCATAAAACCGCGAGGCCTAAGGCTTTAGATGTTTTTGAAGCTGTTTTGTATTGTTAAAATAAACGTGTGAGTGCTGATAGGCTACGGCATAAAAGCCGTTAAGCTGAGAGGGTAAAAGCGGCCCTGGTGGCGTAACGGATAGCGCACTCGCCCGGAAAGCGTGAGGTGCGGGTTCGACTCCCGCCTGGGGCACGACTTTTGCCCACAACTCAGCATTCTTGTGATAACATTCGGAACGCGTACTGCGGCGTTAAACAGCAGTTATCATAACAAAACAGCTGGCAAATTGGGCCTTATCCTCATGATGAACTCGTCCAAGGCGTCGCACCCCCCCCCACTATAAGAAGAGTCTGCTCAGGGTGTTCCCGAAGGTCCTTTTCGCTTCTAAATGATGAATTTTTGAATGGCTTACTGTTTCACGACTGAGCAGCTGCTTACCTGTTAGCACTTGATCGCGCGATAGGCCCACATTCATCTGGATACGATAACGAACACAAGGCATTGAACGTACGAGTACAAGTCTTTGTTCGTGGGCGGCTCTCGGCATCTCAGGGAGCGGTGGATTGTTGGCGCCGGCGGCGCCAGCCTGTTCTTCCTTAAACGCTGCTTCCTCTGCTTCCTTCAACAATTGGTGAAGAGTGGGGTGGCGCAGTGCCAAGCCTAACCCCTTCATCCGCAGGTGAATAAGACTGTGAATACTCCCTTTAATAGTCTCGTGTGGGGCGAAATGGCATTTAATCAGTTCTGTTTAGGTAGAGCGTTCAACACTCATTCAGATTTTTAGTGGCATATGAAAGCGGTATAAAGGATAAGGACTAAGTCTTCGCCGCTAATCAATCCCTTAGTTTGATGTGGCACGCATTCTACTTCCATCCGGAATCGTAGTGCCTTATCGAATGCGATATGGCCTATACAATGACTTGCAGGAGCCAGCCGCTGATGTACAAGTCAGTGTCTTCTCTTCCCAATCTTGGACCTCGCAATGGTTACGGTCCCCGGAGGGGTTAAGAAGGGCTGGTTAGGCCTATGCGGGAAGTCGACCAGTATTTAAATCCAGAACCAAGCGAGTTGTAAGGCGCGCCAGCTTGTCACTAAGAAACCTGCGCTCATGAAAGCAGTATAAATGATTGAAAACAAATTGAAAAACAAAAATGAGTTTACGAGCCTCAGTAAGACATAACCAGAGTCAGTGTAACTTACCCGGCCCACTACCGAGATCCGACAGTAAAATGTTGTGAATTCTGCAACAGGGGAAAGACTCTGTCCGTATCCGGATCGCGGCTGTGTCACAAGTGTGGATACAGCTTCAGAATTTAAACTGAAACGCCTCCGCAAAAAAAAAAACGCGCAACAATAAATGTTCTAAATCAGCTAGCCAGAGCTTTTGTAAAATCCCTTTCACTACCGGGAGTAAATGCCGAAACTGATATGCTGGCGCAGTAGCTGAATATTCGATGCTACAATCTCTCCATGCCTCTCTCCTACGTCCACTTATCAATCGCACACACCCTGTCATAGACGCCGAATAAAGCTGTATGTTGTGTAAGTCACTCCCCACTGTGCGCCCAATATCACAACCACGCCAAAGAGGTTATGACGACAAATGCTGATTTGTGGGCAGAATGCTTTTCATGGACTCTGACAACGGATGTTCCGTCTTTTGGACAAGAACGCTACCAATACACCTGGGTTGTTAGAGAAATTGGCCTTCATTATTAAGAAGCAGTTGGCATGATTGATTTGGTACTCGCCTATAAAGGCAGTTGGCAGGATGGTTTCCTACTTAGCCTAAAATGCTAGTAGGGCGCTATATAGTGGGGAAATGGCGAAAGAACGGAGTGAAACGGTCAAAATCCTGCGAAGAAAGAGCCTCCGTTCTCAATGTGTTAGAAAATCAATTTTGGACGAGTTTCCTAGGCATCTTGCCAATCAACTGCTACCGGAAGTGCAGCGCATATGTGTACGCATGGTATGCATGCAAGCATCACACCGCGCGGCCCGTCATACCCCAATCGCCTTTGCGTTGCATCTAATTTGCTCACCAAAAATGAGAATACGAGCGCGTCAGAAACGGTCGTCCGTTTGTGGGCGGGCGGGCAAGGAAGGCGTTTGGGACGTAAAGTTGTTGCTCAATAGGGCGTTATAGAGGTACCCTCCTTGGAAAAGGTTTCACGCAGCGCCTGTCCGAGGTCACGGAATTCTGTTGGGCGCCAGTTTTGGTACGAATCCTACAATCTGTAGGCGATTTATCGTGCCAACTGCCTTCAAATGGCTAGCAGGGCTCTATATAAGTGGGAACACATTTACGAAAAAACACGAAGTGACACGGTCAAAAACACTGCGGAGAAAAGCCTTCTTTGGCGATGTTTATCGACCGGGAGGGGGATGACATTTTGTGTTATAGTTTGCTATCTGGTTCCGGTTTACAATCTCACTCTGGTAAAACTTGTGAACGCTTGTGAAGCTGGAGCAAGATCGTCTAGCCACCATCCTAAAACGTGTCAACTCGAAAAAAGGGTACCTAGATGGGTTGGCAAATCTGTGAAAAACAGAATGCCCCCCCGTCGATAAACAGCCAGGCTTCTTTCTCAACGACTCAGCCATTTTGGGCGTTCCCGGTAGGGCATGCTCGGCAGAATGAACCGCTAAGAGTCGTAGGTACGAGCAAAATCCTTGCAGGCACCGCGGCCGGTTCTATCAAAATCCCATCCGCTCATGTTGTAGCTCAAATTGAAGCGAAAGGACATCAGCGATAGTCAAGGACAATTGTGGGTGGCGAGTGCGAGTTCGGCATCCGGACCGTATGTTGGCCAGCTTGATAGGGCCTTATGAGGGAACCTTTCTTGGGAGAGTCGCTACGCAGCGCCTGCTCAGGGTCGCAGAATCCCGTCCTGTCAGGCGTATTAATCCCACCTCCTCTTGGGGGATCTTTTCGGCCCCCAGTTTGCCCTTTGATTGACCATCGAAGCTGTTTACTAATTCAGTTCTTCCATACCGTTGCCCTCGCTGAGTAGACGAAGTAGATCTGAAGCGTCTGTGGTTGGAGGCGTGTCTGCTGGTGAACCTGAAATGGTCTTCATTAATCTAATAACCATTGAAGTACTTTTTCCATGTGAATATAGAAGCTTACTAATGTTGAATCGAACAAGTAACCTTCGGAGTTATTCCTAGAATCACTTGGCACTACATATTTCAATGAATTGGTGCTAGTTAAAAGCCGTTTTCCGGCGGTTTAAAGGGCATGTGACGTTACGCTTTTGGAACACCGCATTAGCAATTGGCAATGCTGGTTGGCTATTCATATTAAGTGGCCTTCAGCAAAGGGTCTGTGAATTGAAAACAGCAGAGCCTCCTCCAGCTGCATATTCTGTAATAACAATCATTTGACGGAAGTTTGACTTGGTCGAGTGAAACGGTAACAAGCTCTAGTTTCCATTGCTTTTTTTTCTCGGAAAATTTTTTAATAGCTCCCCAATAGCCTAGTTTTTGCGATACAGGTTATAAAACTTCTGCAATGACAATCCCTCTGGAGTGTAGCGCACATTGTAGCGCTTCTGCGATAGCAGTGAATCGAGGCCGTTGAGTTCACATCTCAGCTACACCGTGGGTGTGAGGATTACCCATTGACCAAGACAGCGCTAGCCTGCCCACCTCTCGACAAGGCAGTTAGCAGCTGGTGAACATCAAAGGGAAGGAAATCTAAGTGGCACGCGTTAACTCGACTTTTAGGGACGCCCACTGGCCACTGCACTACCCTTTTTCCCCGCAATGGAAACCTGAACACCAATAAGGAACGAGCAATGTTCCAGATGACTCCGCCCACACAACGAGCGCAGCTTGTGCCTATAAATGACAATTTATGGAACAGCACCGCAGGGTGTTGGTGGTCAGTGCTCATCTAGCTGGTGTCTGAGTTTTTATGCCTTCGACCAGAGCTAGCGTTTCCTTCCTCGAAAGACGACAGTCTAGATCAGATGTGAATGAAATTGGCTAGATTTTCATTAAAAATCGAATTCGGGCCCTGCGATCTTATAACGCTAGGAGCTCTTTGTGGGAAAAGGGAACGGCACCACAATACGCAACCCTGTAGTATAAGTTTCGCGCCAGAAAGTTGTCATGTGTCATGTAGAGACGTCCATTGGGTACCTTATAATTCATTAAATGATCTTTTTTGGACAAAAAATTGTAAGAACCTTGTGCAAAGAACACCACGGTGTTGTTCACTGCGAATGAAGGG